AGTTTGCAACATACATAGAGTCAAAACCTACAGGCTCCAATTTCAATTGTTTTGCCGATGTCTCAGCAGCAGATCAGTATTTTATACATTCACACAGCAATAAGATTGATGAACTCTCTGCCTCAGAGGGATGTGAGGCAAGGCTTGGTGTTTATTTTTGGGGGGACAAACATCCATTTTAGTAAAAACTTCATTTTTAGCACCCAAAAGCCAGATCCAGGGTTGCCTGTGGAGTATACATGCATAAATTTAAGATGTAAATGCCAGTAATTCTAATCAATAAATCGATTTATTGAAATTTCCCCCACTCCCAATGAGATTCAAGTCAAACTCCATATGATTAAAAACATGGAATCATAGATTGAGATCACAAGGGCCATCCTTTCCAAACCAGCCACACATACATATACAAATAAAGCACTCCCAACAGATGGTCATCCAACCTCCAGAGGAGACTCCACCAGATCCCAACACAATGTATTAAACCAGTGGTTCTCAACCTTCCGAATGCCGCGACCCCTTAACAGAGTTCCTCAGGTTGTGTTAACCCCCAACCATAACATTATTTTCGTTGCTACTTCATAACTGTGATTTTGCTACTGTTCTGAATCGTAATGTCAGTATCTGATATGCAGGATAGATTATCATTCACTGGACCAAATCGGGCACAATTACCTGATACATCCAGGTATTGTAGTTGCTGGGTTTATAGTTCACCTACAATCAAAGAGCATTCGGTACGCCAACAATGATGGAATTGAACCAGTCTTGGCACACATGACTTCCATGAGCAACAGAAAATACTGGAAGAGTTTGGTGGGCATTGACCTTGAGTTTGGAAGTTGTAGTTCACCTACATCCAGAGAGCACTGTGGACTCAGACAATGACGGATCTGGACCAAACTTGGCACAAATACTCAATATGAACAAACGTGAACACTGGTGGAGTTTGGGGAAAACAGGCTTTGGCATTTGGGAGTTGTTGCTGGGATTTATAGTTCACCTATAATCAAAGATTTTTCTGAACTGTACCAACAATAGAATTGAGCCAAACTTCCCACACAGAATCCCCATGATCAACAGAAAATACTGTGTTTTTGATGGTCTTTGGTGACCCCTCCGACACCCCCTCACGACCCCCCCAGGGGTCCCGACCCCCAGGTTGAGAAACACTGTATTAAACTGTAGTAAACAGCTTTGGCCGTCAGGAAGGTCTTTGCAATGCTTAGGTGGAATCTCTTTTTGCTTGCAGTTTAAATCTGTTGCTCAATGTCTTTGTCTCTGAAGCAGCTGAAAGTGAGTTGACTCCATCTTCCCGATGTTATAAACATGGCTTAGCCTTCTCCTCTTCAGGCAAAAACACACCTAGTCCCTTAAGCCCTCCTTATAACCTTCCAGCCCATGTGAGGAAGAGAGAAGGCACATCATGCTACCAGGATAAAGTGTGTGTTTGGATCCTGTGTGATATTGCCATTACAGGATAATAATAATAATAATAATAATAATAATAATAATAATAATAATCCTTTATTTATACCCCGCTACCATCTCCCGCAGGACTCGGTGCGGCTTACAAGAGGCTGAGCCCAAATACATCATAAAACATAACAACAACAATACAACAATAAATAACTCATAACAAAGCAAAACAATACAATAATGACACGATGCAATTAAAAACCGTAAGAATGTAATAGATTTGTTCATTCATTCAGTCATTTCCGACTCTTTGTGACCTCATGGACCAGCCCACTCCAGAGCTCCCTGTTGGCCGTTGCCACCCCCAGCACCTTCAAGGTCAGTCTGGTCATTTCAAAGATGCCATCCATACATCTTGCCTTTGGTCGGCCCCTCTTCCTTTTTCCTTCCATTTTCCCCACCATAATTGACTTCTCTAAGCTTTCTTCTCATGATGTGGCCAAAGTAAGTACTTCTCTAGTATCCTTCTCTCCAATGAGCAGCGGGCTTTATTTCCTGGAGGATGGACTGGTTGGATCTTCTCGCAGTCCAAGGCACTCTCAGAACTTTCCTCCAACACCACAGCTCAAAAGCATCGATCTTCCTTCGCTCAGCCTTCCCTAAGGTCCAGCTCTCACATCCGTAGGTTACTACAGGGAATACCATGGCTTTGACTATGCGGATCTTTGTTGCCAGAGTGATGTCTCTACTCTTTACTATTTTATCGAGATTGGACATTGCTCTCCTCCCAAGAAGGAAGCGTCTTCTGATTTCCTGGCCACAGTCTGCATCTGCAGTAATCTTTGCACCTAGAAATACAAAGTCTGTCACGGCCTCCACGTTTTCTCCCTCTATTTTCCAGTTGTCAATCATTCTTGTTGCCATAATCTTGGTTTTTTTGATGTTTAGCTGCAACCCGGCTTTTGCACTTTCTTCTTTCACCTTGATTAGAAGGCTCCTCAGCTCCTCCTCGCTTTCGGCCATCAGAGTGGTGTCATCTGCATATCTGAGGTTGTTAATGTTTCTTCCAGCAATTTTCACCCCAGCTTTGCATTCATCAAGCCCCGCACAAATTAAAATTTTAAAATGCTGGACATGTCCAGGGAAATAGGTAGTATATTTTAAAGATAGGTGATACTGTTATGATTCAAAGATGGCCGTGACAACGTCCATGATGAGGACCGGTCCGGTCGCCCTTCTTTGATTACAGACGATTTGGTGGCTTCAGCTGAAGCGAGGATTCGTTAGAACAGGCGCTTCACAATAACAGGTCTCTCAAACGAATTTCTTGACGTGTCGAGATCAGTGCTTTACAACATTGTTTCTGAACACCTAAAGTTTAGGAAACTGCTCCCGTTGGGTCCCGAAATTCCTAACAGAGGACCACAAAAAACAAAGATTTGAGTGTGCGATCAAATCAAATCGTCTGTAATCAAAGAAGGGCGACTGGAGCGGTCCTCATCATGGACGTTGTCACAGCCATCTTTGAATTGTCGTACCCACTTACGCACTTTGCTTTCACTCATAACAGTATCACCGTACACTTCACAAATCTGTCGATGAATTTCTGCAGCAGGCAGGTTCCTTGCTGACAAAAACCGTATCACTGAGCGAACCTCATATGCGGAGGGTGAGTTGATAGTCTTAAACATTTTTAAAGCACAGAACAGAACCGTACAGGTTAGCTACAGAGCGGAAACTGAGCACAGTTGTTCCCGTGGCATGCCGGTACACGACGCATGCGCTCGTTGCGGTATGCACGTGAACTACTAGTGTCTACAACAAAACGGACCTTACTTAAAAAATACCCCTCGTATAATAGAGTCTCATTTAACTGACCTTCGCTTATCCGACATTCGGTCATATCCAATGCTCTTAACTGACACTCTGTGGAACAGTTTGTTGAGTGTTTCTGTGCAGTATTTATGCTAATTTTTTTCCTGAACTTTGTGCAAGTATGGTGATGAAAAGAAGGAGGATGGTTGTATCAATGGAAGAGAAACTTGAGACAATCAAGACTGGACAAAGAGAGATTATAAAGAAGGTAGCTGACGACTATGGAATTGGATAGGTAACAGTCTCAGGTTTAATAGGCTTTTCTTAATCCCTCCATATTATCCGACATGTTCATTTATCCGACGTTCTACCAGCCTGTTTATGTTGGATAAGCGAGACTCTACTGTACTCTGAATCTCCACTTGAACCTCCAGCACACAAGGGACTGAAAGGCATCTCCAGCATGAGGTGGGACTATGCCTGAGCACCAAAGCCT